ATTAATTTAGAAAATCTTTTCAGGACCCCACCTTGATGTTTCAGGACCCCACTTTGGGTACCGACCCCAACTTTGGGAAACACTGATAGATCATTAACAAGCTGAAACACATATTCACATAATCTGCTTAGCTTTAATGAGTGATCGTTCTACACCAATCGCAGCAATTGGTACAAGTCCAATTCAGTATATGACTGGACGGCAAATCGGCACCACAGTCCCAGCTCTAGAAAAGACATTGTTGCCCATTCCAGTCAATCAGGACATGGTATATTGAAAGAATGCTGCAACTAAGGGCTCTTATAGATTCTTCTTCAACCACAGACATTCAGCAGGACAAGCCCTGAGCTGCACACTGGATGTTAAAGTGAAGCTTGATGGAGAAAAAAGTATGGAACTTGAACTATAGAGCTCCAAAAAGGACTGGGTTTTCTCGTCTGTAACACAAATATTTTATTGTCATGGGAGAAATTCCATGTAGTACAGTATACCGCTACAAAAAGACAATGAACATAACCCTGATCAAGTACGGAGCCCGCGAGGGGACACGGGGAGACTTTTTCTTTTGCCTTCCCACGCAATAGTATTACATTACCTCGCAATACTTTTGCATTCTCGCAAAATTGTTTTGCGTTCCCACGCAAAAGATTGTTTTGTATATGAACTGAATTAAATCAGACTTTTATTTTAAAATATCTGGTTACCAAAACAGGATGTCTCGTCACAAGTTCGTGAAATTGACATTGATGTTGTGTGGCTGCTGACAGGGTTTTGCAGGAACAGACCCAGGGCGGAGACAGGCTCAAAAAAAGAAACAAAGGATTTATGAAATAACAGAAGAATGAACCGACAAACACAATTGACAAGACTCAGAATATAAAGCAAACAAATCAAGAGTTAACGAGGAACACCTGGGGAGACACGAGAGGAATCAGGTTTGTGCAGGGGGGGCGGGAGGTCAAACAGCAGGGAGAGGAAAACACGGGAACAGACAAAATACTAAGAAAATAAAGACAAAAACACAGATCATGACAGCTGTACTGTGTTCAAATATCATCATATGACATACTCCCATGCATGGCTGTGTGATATATTCAGTCTGAAGCTGAATTAAAGCAGTAATCTAACTCGCTAATGGTGAACATGTGAGTTTGTTAATAAACCGGCAGCACAACAGTGATAAACGACTTTTGCGAGGGAACGCAAAACTATTGCGTGGGAACACAAAAGAAAAAAATCTCCCACGTCCCCTCACGGGCTCCGTAATCAGGCAACATATTTTAATGTAGAATTTGCATGTTTTTTTAAGCTGCAGGGCATGAAAATAGACACAATCATAAGGCAAACCAAACAGAATACGAGTAAAGGTGCTTTAATCCTTAATGAACTAAGTTTAAAGACAACTGCAATATTATGATTATAATGGAAGTATGTACATTTTGTAGGGGTCACCTCGAGTCAAATTATCAAGGAACTATCTTGGACTCTCAGTCCTCTGATGGGCCTTCTAATGGACAAGAACTCTGTTCCACTTAGAACTGTATTTAGGCCACCCAAGGCCACTTTCCTTCTAAGTCAGATAAAAACAGAAGAATCTTCGCTTATTTGATTTAGTGTTCTCTTAACTGAAAGTATTAC